AGGAAGGACGAGAAAAACTGAAAAGAATCATCATTCATCAATCTTGAGAAGAAGCTTTGAAAGTTCACTCAAATGACATGCAAATGTTGATTCATATCACTTGGTTAAATACTTGAATGATGAAAATTTCCAGATGTACTCAAATTTATGTACCCAACTAATCATTCAGCAAAAAACCCAGATACATATTATGAGCATAATCTACCATTAGGCGATCGATCATCTCAAACTCAACGAAAAACCGATCAACTTATTTTACGTCCAACATTTTCAAGCCGAAACAATGAAAATCAAAACAAAAATAAGATAAAACGCAATCCGAACTGCTCGAAATGGCGAAATGTCTCAAAGTTTCGGAGGATTTAAATGAAATTTCATAAACCAAAAAATTACTCAAGAGCCCTTGTCAAGCTTTTCACTTTGATATCATAGCAGTGAGTTCTCGAACGAGTTTAGCTGCAACCATTGCAGTCATGCCGTCAACTGTGTCCCGTTGCGGATTAAACTCGACAACATCGCCAGCCACAACATCGCCTTTAAGGTTTTGGAGTATGTTAAGAATGTCTCGAAACGAGAGGCCACCTGGCTCGATGTGGGACACTCCTGGAGCAAATGCCGGATCGAGGCTGTCAAGATCCACCGATATGTATACCCCTTTTACACCTTCACCGAGTTTCTACTAACCCAAAAAAAAAAAAAAAAATGTTAAACAATAAAAAATCATGGTTGTTTGCAATTGTTTGCTCTTTTTTTTATCACCCGATTAAGCGAGTACCAGATTCTCGAGCATTTGGCGATCCCTTGAAAATGTGCGCATTTCATATTGCTCCACACCGAACCGTTTACCTTGCTCACGGCCTTCATCTGTTATTGATCTGATTCCAACCTGCAGCAAAAATATATGTTTTGATATCAATTTGACTTTCTCAGACAAATAAAAATGTTTCGGTTTTTGCATTTTTTACTTCTAAATGTTGCAAAGGATGATAATATGACAAGTTTTCTCAACTTCAGCTTCAAAGTGAAAAACAGTGGTTCTTGAAGCATTTAAATGAAAAAATATGCAAATACTCTGTAAATCGAGCTTCAACCGGCCAACAATTTTTTTTTACCTGCAACAATCGACGAGCATAACCGCCTTCCATTATCCTAGAAAATGAGGATGCATGAGAGTATTTGTTCCCTTCAAATGCATCATAAATGTCTGGATGAGCATCGAGATGAAGAATATCAAGGGGCCCACCGAGTTTTTCAGAGACAGCTCTCACCACAGGGAAGGAAATCGAGTGGTCTCCCCCTAGAACCAAAGGCCGCAATGGATCCTAAAAAAATGATTTGAATACAAAAATATTCGAAATGATTTTATAGAAAGTAAAGAATATGAAACATAGACAAAAAGATCCTTAAAAATACATCCTCAAAAAGAGATCCTTAAACATACTTGTTCCATGACTAACTTCACTGATTCGGATATGATGCCCATAAGTCTATCATCATCTACACCACAGTCTCGTAATTCTTGAACGGGCACATCACCAACATCGGTTAGGACACGCGGATCGTTAAGATCTTTACCTGCCGAGTCCCATAATTGCTATCAGATAAAAAAAAACATTTTCTGCTTTTATATGTCACAGTGAAAGAATAAAAGAACATAACAACACATAAATTGTAAAGCCTCAATCTTTTGTTTACAATTTAAACAGTACTTTCTACATCATAAGCTGTCACAACAATGAGAGCACTTGCAAGAAAATTATTTAGAACATAGACACCATACACTAAGCACGAAAGGCCAATGCTTAAGAACCGGGTTTTCTTGGAATAAAACATAAAAAGCCATGAAGATCAAATGAAGGAGGCATATATATCTTGTTCGTTACCTTGTTCAGTTGAGGAATTTGTGCTCCCACACCAAATAGCCTCTCTTATACGAGGAGGCGCAAATGCGGGCCCTTGTAGAAATGAAGAATTGTGTCCTAAAGGAACTCCAAGTAGAGATGACGAAGCTTTTACACCTCCCAAAGCTCGTAACAGTTCCCCCTGCCATAGATATTTACACGCTATAAAATACGATCAATCGAGAACAATCACTTCTAAGTGAAGGGGCAAAACTCAGAAGCTAACATCCTTTTTGAAAATACGACACCTTTCTTGAAGCCGAAATCTTTCATAATCTAGAGGCAGAGCAAGCTCTCGCACTCCACACCAGAATAGCAGTTGAAAGATTCATAGTAGACATTAAAAATTACATGGACTTGCAGTTTTACAAAACATTAACAACTTCTGCCTTGAAAATTTTAAATGAAGTTAACCAGATTATACCTTGAGCTTTGCTCTCTCACGGATAAGAGTGAGGGATGCCTCGATAACACGTTTTTGACCGTTCTCTATCAATGCCTTGGGAACATTTGCGGCGTTCAGCTTCTTCAAATAATGGATTCCCATTTTTCCAATGTTCTTCATCTTCTGGATTCTAAAGTTTCTACTCAAAGACCCATAAATGCTTTAACGGTGTGCTAAAACTTTAAAAAGATTAAAACTTGAATCTTTATATAAATGCTATAGCCAAGAGATTTAACTTTTTCAACACCCTCATCCACAGATAAGCATCATTTAGCAGTTCCATACCAAAACCCATTTACAGAAAAAAACTTTCAAGCCAAAAAACATGAATCATAAGGTGACAACAGGCAAAACAATTTGTCCACATCAATTTATATTTCAGCCATTTACATATCTCACCTTTAAACTACGGGAGATGCTACGGTCCCGTTACGGAACCATTCCGTCGGGGTTTGTAACCGTTAGATCAACTATCCCCGACGGTTAATGATGATCCAACGGTTACAAATCCCAGAATGGTTCCGTAACGGCACCGTAACATTTCCCTTAAACTTAAACTTATTCTAATTATTTACGGAATCAAAATCCAACCGCAAAGATATAGACAAACCCAAAGGTGGTGAAGAGCTAATGACGTGACCTAAGATTCAAAATCCACCACCCTCACCTTACAGAAAATCAAAAGACCTTCTTTTTTTGAAAGGTAGCGAGAGAACATAAAACCCAATTCTTGATTCCGAATTTCAGATAAAAGAAAAAGGGCACATAAAGCAAGATTCAGCTGCAATTCTGTAAGATAAGCCATTAAAACAAGGAATTTCAATAAATAGAAACTTACCCCGGCCGAAGACTAGCGCTATGAGATAAACAGAGCGAGCTGATCAGTATGTGATGTTTGTGAATAGAAGAGAATGGGTTTGCTTTGTTTTCTTGTTTTGTTTAGGCGCTGATCACAGGATTGCTGTCACTTAGCACCTGCTTTTTGCTGCGTGTTTATCTCACCACGAACAAGAAATCAAATATTATTGGTTTTGTTAATTGTTAGTATACAACTTTTTTGGGTATTTATTTACGAATATATCTATTTTTTTATTATAAAAATTCATTATGCAAAAGAAAAGTATTTAGGAATTTGTAATAATTAATTTTCTATATTAGAAAAAAAAAAAAAATTTGTCATCTTATGAAAGACAAATGTTATTCGTAGTTTCGTTCATTTTTTTGGATTTGTTGTTTTTATTATATAAGTAGAATATTAACCTTATTTGTCGTCTAAAGATTATTATGTAAAATGTACCAAAAAAAAAAAAAAAAGATTATTATGTAAAATGTACCCAAAAAAAAAAAGATTATTATGTAAAGAAACGGATTACAAACATTATCCTAATAGAGTTGGATTGGGACATGCATTACACGTAATCTCGCATTAGGCTTAAAAGAGCAATACAACCAATGACCTTTCACCTACTTTATAAAATAGATAATAAAAAAATGTGTTTTTATTAATATTATAAGATTTCCTACATTTATTAAGCCAAAAATTTTTTGCTCATAAGTTCGGTTCGCCTCGTTTTAAAACTTATTTAGTTATAGTTAACTTGTTAAGACTCGAAAATAAGATTATTATATATATTTTTTGGTTCAACTTAAGCCCATTGGTGTTAAAAACGAATCGAGTTTTTTTTTTTTTTTTTCCAAACGATAGATTTAAAAACGAATCGAGTTCAAATCGACTAATCTTTACGAGAAGGCTGACGTGGTGCAACTATTAAACATTATTATCCAGCACGGCTTCACGCAGTTCTATGTTTGCGCCCATCTCACCTGAATAAGTATTTTGTTTTGGGAAATTATTGTCTGTAATAGAAAGCAGATATACAATTTTTCGGCCCAGTAAGAATATGAATCCACGAAGAAATTTAAGTTGGTCCATCGTTATAATCAAGCCCAATTAAATGGCCTTGTCAGTTAGGTTATACACGTAACATATGTCGTTTAGTAGGCCCAAGGAGCAATAAATATTGAGATTGTGCTCTTGTATTGAAGTACTTCAAGACATGATATGTACAAATCTATATGCTTTAGCAATAAGGCTTAATATATATAATTAAATTGGTATTTATTCCTTAAAATTATATCACTGAAAGTAAATTATTTTTCTTCTCAAATTTTTCTGCCTTAATAAATTGCTGTTTTGTTATGATTTTTAAACTTCTCATTTATGTAAGTTCAATATCTACATTATTTCCATTATTTTTTAATTTTTAGTTGAATATTCATATTTTCTATTTTAAATTAAATATTTCTATTTATTGCTTATTTTTGTATGAATAATATATCAATTTAAAGAAATTTTCAGCTGTTCTCAATTTAAAACCAATATGTAGAAGAATAACTATTTCTTTTATATCAAACAAACTAATATTTATTCATCTATACCAATTTAAAATAACAAACAGTCTAAAAAATTTTCCAATGGATATTTGTGTTCCATAAGCACAAATGTAAGTGAACAAAGAGCTTTTCCTAAACAAATGAAGCAGCCAAGCCCATTTGTATGAAGTTCAAATAAGATGCATGTATCAATTATTCAATTCATATGAAGTTACACAAGCATCTCACTAGAATTCAACACATAAAAACACTTAAAACCAACTTGATCACCCTCTTGAAATTAATCCCCATCTTAATTGTTAGAGCTCAAAAGATAACAACATTACATCTCAATGAACGAAAATATTCGTCTCCTCATCAAGCTCGTCGCGCCTTTTTTGAAGTCTATTCATCTTGTCACCAACAAAACGATTCATACGATTCAGCTGATCCCAGTGGAGTTCGTTCAACATTTGGCCGCCATCAAGGACCCGTTTCGTGAGGATCCCAATCTCGGTCTCGTCGTTCTTCTTTCGTAGCTTGGACAATTTTTCGGTCATTTCGTGCATTTTTTCGGTCAAGAGCTTTTCTTGAAGAACCATTTTCTTAGCCCTTTCTTGTTCGGAAAAGGCTAGGAACTTCGTGATGCCGGTTGTGGCATTCTCGTGAGAGGGCCACATTATCGGCCGAGTATCATCGTTAGGGTTTAAGATGACGATGAACATTTCTAAGTTGCACAAAATCGATAGCTCCTGCGCTTTCTTGTAGAGGCTCTCGAGCCTACGTTTCAGAGTCGAGTCTCTAGCACGCTCGTTTTCGATCGGCCCATGTTTTGCTCTTTTTCGGGCCATGGTTGGGTTACAACTGAGTGTGGTTTTGTGGTAAGATCTATTTTGGTGCATCCATATATATAGGCAAAGAATTGATGAAATTAAACATAAATTTTCAAAAAAAAATAAAAATAAAAAAAAAAATTACCAAATTAATCTGGTTTTGCTATTTGACCAAGTATTTTCAATGGGAAACCCCTTTATATGGTAAAATAGTTGCACCAATATTACCATCATATACGAATAGTAAATCTTTGAACGTAATATAGAAAATTAATGGACGACTTGGTCTTGCATCTCACATAGTAGTTTGACCGGCTCATTGGGCAAATTATTTAGTAATTGGGCCTTGTCTGATTTAGTTGGGCTAGTCTTGGTGAAATTTGTATGATTTGTAATCGGTCCATTGTTTTATTGTTTGGGTTGATATGCTAAGGGCTTGATTGTTTATGAAATAATTTGTTCAAAATGAATTATTTTGGTTAACTATAGTTAATTTTGAAAAAAGTATATGATTAGTTGTTAGTGAATTTTTAAGAAAATTATATAAAAAATTCAAATTTTCAAGTCTAATTAATGGCTCGACTGGGGTCGGCTCGAATTGTTAATCGTTTTGAAAAGTTCGAGCTTTTCTCGTTTATCAAATGTATCAAATCGAGTTCGAGTTTCAACGAGCTAAATCGAGCGGAGCCTAAACCAAACCCACAAGCAACTCATTTTATCCGTCGAGGGTAATACTTTTTATGTTGAACAAGATGGACATTAACCTCAAAACCAAGGGCCCAAACAATACTTGACACTATATTTAATTATTTATTATCTAATAATTTGTGTGTTAAGGAAAGACACGGTCAAATAAATTCCTTCCTACAAGTTTCTAATTTAATTAATGTAGAAAAAGCCTTCACCATATAACACCAAATTGATCAGTGTCAGCTGTATATGTAATCGAGCCGTTGACTGCCACGCTGGGCATGCATGCTATATACTAAGCTCACACCCACATGATAATTATAGTTAAATCCTTCTATTATTGTTTTTTTTTTTCCCTATTATTATTATTGGTTGGTTTAAGTGTTTAAGTAAACACCTGGACCTGGACACAATTGTATTTTAGTTGTATCAGATTTTGGATACGAAATCTGTACACAACTATATATTGTGCTTAGGAGGTATAGCTGGAAAATTTGATCGGTTTAGGCATCTCCAACCGAAAAATTCATCCTCAAACCTATTTTGCAGTAATTCATCTCCAACCGAAAAACCTATTCTCAAACTCAAAAGAATATTCTCGAAATATTCTCTTTTACATCAACTTTTACAACTTTTCAATACTATCCACATATTTTACAACTTTACAAATTAAACCACACTATTATTGTAAATTAAATTTGGAATTTTATGTAATAAAATTATTTATAATTCATCATATCATATACATAATATTTGCGTTTTATGTGGAGAGAGAAACATCAAAAACGCTTTTTGGGTCGGTAATGAAATTCAGTTGAAGTAAAATCCCTTCAATTTTTGCATTTTGCGGTACCCTTGGAGACGGTCTTAGGAGTAAGAAGAAGAAAAATAATATTATTATAGTCTTTGATTTATTATAAAATATAAAAAGATTGCATAAATTTCTAAACTAACAATATTGATATACATTCTTAAAAAAATTGTAATGTCTTATTCTATTATTAAAACATAATAAATAAAAATATATCATTTCATAGCATGATTATGTATTTTTTTAAAAAACAAAAAATAATAATGAAAAGATCGATTCTTTTAAGGTTAGACCATCTCAAACAAAAGTTCATAATGGAATACAAATTCTTATGAGTGCATAAATTTAACAATTAGGCGATTAAAACTGTCATATTTTTCAAACAAAAATGTATAACTTTCTTGAAAAATGTTGTACTATTAAAATATAGTGCATATTCATTATAATGACTCGCATATAAATATGGGAGATTCTACGGTCCAGTTACGGAACTATTCCGTCGGATTTTGTAACCGTTAGATCAACTGTCCACGACGATTACATGATAATTTAACAGTTACAAATCCCGATATAATGGATCTGTAACAGGACTGTAGTATTTTTCCATAAATATTGTACTTTGATCCAACATAAATTTAGGTTTATGTCACCTACAAAACACCCCAAAACCGCCTTTCTAGTTCTTGGAAACTACACAAACACGTGCACGTCAATAAAGAAATACATATTGAACATTCGAAAAATACTACTTACACAAACCCTAAGTAACAAATCTCCTCTCCCTCTCTCTCTTTATAAAAGCCTCCTAATTAACCATCATCTTCATTTTTCCTACATCAAACACAAACCACCGCAAATACGAAAAGCTTATTAAAAATGTCACAAACACCACCAAATCTCACTTTCTTCCTACTAATATCTCTACTCATCCTCACCCTAGTTCAGGCCGATCACACGATCGCCCACCGTCGATCTCGGGCCCGGGCCTTCATCGAATTTCAATGTCGACGGGCCACACTCTACCCCGATTTATGCGTCCGTACCCTATCATTCTACGCCCACAACCTCTCCATGCCTCCAAGCCACAAACAACTGGCCCAGTTCGCCCTGAGAGTAACCCTAGCCCGGGCCCAATCGACACGGGCCTATGTTACCCTAGTTGCCAACAGGCTCGACCAGGCCAAGGCCCGTGACTACCAATCCATAAGGCAGTGTTTGGATCAAATAAACGATGGGGTGGACCAGCTCACAAACTGCATAAAGGAGACTCAGAAGATTCGGGACGACAGGACCGGGACTCGGGACTTTTCTTGGCGGGAAAGTAACGTGAAGACGTGGATGAGCACGGCTCTAACCGACACGAGCATGTGTGTGGACGGGTTTTCGGGCCGGGCCANGGGGAAAGACAAAGGCCATTATCAAGGCTAAGGTGCTTAATCTACAACAAGTTACTAGCAATGCATTGGCCTTGTTCAATAGATTTGCTGCTAAGTATAAGGCAGCCCATGTGAAGAAGCCCAAAACATAGGGGCCCAATTTGTTATAATTTTGCTCTTGTTGTATGGAAGTATTAATGTTAAGATATGTGTAAGAAAAACAAGTTGTGAATATACAAAAGTTTTGTGATGTGTAATGATGGCTGAAGCATAAGTGAAATATACAGGACTACTATCTCTTCTTTCTATTGAGCTCGTGAACTAAATAAGCTAGCTCGAGAGCCCCTCAATAAGCTCATTTATCAATATTGACGAATTGAGTTATATAAAACATTAAAACTACATAAACATAAGCTAGCTCATTTATGAGTATTGACAAGTTGAGTTAAATAAAACATTAGAACTACATAAAAATCTTTTTTTTCGAGTTGGCATCGGCTAAACGAGCTCCAATTAGCTCATCTTATTTATCAAACGAGTCGAGTCGAGTTTATGAGCAGTTCGTTTCTTTTATCGGCTCTAGCTACAATAAAATGGTAAATATATATATTAACATTTTACTTCGAAAGGGCCGGGGCACGCAAATTAATATGTTAGTAATTTTTTATTTGGAATAATAAATTGGAAATGAAAGTAATAAATATGTATGAATAAACTTTGTATAAATTATTATAAATTGTATTGGCAAATATAACCCATAGATCAGATTTGGTCTATGAAATTAGTATCGTGTGTATACATAGTGAAACCAAATCCACAACTTTCATCACCTAATACATTACATCCAATCTAATAAATGCAATTTAAAAGAAAAATATATTCCAACTCCATTAATTGTAAATTTAGCTTGCAAAAAAATGAGAAAAATCATTAATCATTATATGAATACAAATAACTCACATTACTTTATTTACATATGTGCAAATGCACAAGATCGAATACTAGTTTTATTCAATTTGGCACGGTTCGGTGCAAAACCGCACCGAACCGAACAAAGCTGAAAACCAAACTTATAGAAAACTGTAACTGCAATATAGAAAAAAAACCAAACCGAATCGAAATTTTTTACATTAAAAAAAAAGTGAACCGAACCACACCAAATTGGACGGTTCGGCTCGTTTTCTAAGTTTTGGCTCGATTTTGATGACAGAAAGAACACAACAAAGACAATGAGGTACATAATTAAAGTTCACATATCACGAGCATCTCAAATTTCCCATTAATTTCTCAAGAATTTTCTCCGGCATTGAATTATTTTCGTAAAATAAAACACGACGGTTTCATGAGTTCAAATAACAAAGAAAAATTTGAATCGAATGTTAACAATGAGGCTTCTTGCGTATGTCCCCATTGCATGGCTCGTTCGGATCACAACTTTCCGCGCAAAATTGTATACAGCAATTGGCATCCTTATTGCAGTAACAATCGCACAAGTAGTCGCCATTGCACAGAAAAATACACTCGTTCAGTTCATCTTTCGGGTGGAGGAAATTACCGCCATCTCCGCCACCTGCCGCCCGTGAAACCACCAGCAGCTGGACAACAATCATGGCTGCCAAAGTGAAGCAAATGCCGCCGGAGCTTTTCATCTTTGTGTATGTGTATGTTTATGTGCTCTTGAGATTAATTGATTTGATTTATAGAATTTTTCAGTTAGAATCTGATTTGATTTAATTATATTCAATATCTTGTTACGAGTAAACAAATCGTATGTTATTTGAATTCCCCTCGAAATCAAATTACATTTATGAGAATTTGGAAATTCAAATCAACTCTTTAAGATTTTACCCAAAAAAGTGACAATTTCCATTTTCCAATCACCGAATAAAAAGGACAGATAATTTTTCTCACACAAGTCCGATGACAAAATTTGGTAATTTAAAAAGAAAAAAATAAAATAAAATTACAACACTTTCCATTCCAGACAGGTTAAACAAGAAGAACACTCTTTAACTTAGGTACTTGAAAAATAATATTTAAAATTCATAATAAAGTTTAAGGATCGGTACTTAAGAACTCAGCCATGGAAACACATTTGGCGAGGCAGGCAGACGAGCAGTGAGAACCTCGACTCCTGTATCCGTCACCTGCAATGTACGAGTAATTTTAGGCCTTGATTGGTAATCAATGGTTAGCTGTTAGCTAATTTCATTAGATGCTATTACCAGCGGATTAAATTAGTTGTTTTGATCAAATGATTGTGTTAGCAGTACGTTAAAAAATGCTTGGTAAATTAGAAATTTTTAATTAGCTGTTAAAATTAAAATTACTAATAAGGACATCATCATAATTTATCATTCTTATTTATGTTGATTTATATTTATTTAGGAAATAGAAATAATTAATATTTTAAATATTTATTAAAGTGATTTAAAATATAGAAAAATATAAATAATAATAAAATAAAAATAATTCTTTATTGATTAAATAAGATCAATTCCAATAAACAAAGTTAATAACAAGTTATTACTATTTAAAAAATCTACGTATGAGGCAATTGCAATAAATCCCATCCCAATTGAAAAATAGTTAGTAATAAGAAAATTAAATAAATATAGGATAATATTTAATTAAAAAAATAAATAAGCAAAAAAAGATAATATAGGATATTTGGATTTCTTTTCTAATTTGATTAGTAATTTGACTAATGGTTGACCATTGATTGGGAAATGAAAGTGCTTAAACAAATTAGATTATTTTGATATGTAAAAATAAAAATAAAAAATAGCTTTATTTTAAAGTCTAGATTCTTTCTATTATTTTATGTACATTAACAATCATTGATTAGATAAATATTTTTTTTGAAAAAAAAAATAAAATAAAAACTGCAAGGTTTAATAATATTCTTAAATAAAAAATATTGTGTAAAAAGAAGTGTTTAATAATATATATTTTTCATTGTTAGTATTTATTCTATTTTCATAATGAGACGAGATGTGAAAAAATATAAACAATTATATTTAAAATAAAGTCTAAAAAAGATTTAAAATATGAGCTCCTTCGTGCATCGCATGGGATATGCACTAGTATTAGTTATTGTTTTGCACTAGTATTAGTTGTTAAGTTATACTATAATTAGTTGGAATGAAATTTATATAGTTAAATATATCTCTTATATTACATCAATTATAATTTTGAAAAACTAAATATTATTTACATATACTTGAGAAAAAAAAAATGTATAGAAAAAATATCTCTTATATTGGATCAATTATAATTTTGAAAAACTAAATATTATTTACATAGGTTTGAATAAAAGAGTATCATGCTTTTGATTAATTTTGTTTCGTGGAAGTGTGAGATGTAGAGAGAGTTGTCTAATTTATCTGTCATTGTAATAATATGGGGGCAATTAAAACTTTTAAATTTTTTTATGTTGAACCGCTAAGTCAAAACGCTGCAAAAAGCAGCGTTTTTCATTTTGGCGGATTGGACCAAAAACGCCATTTACAAATTTACCAAACGTTTTTAGCGGATTGTATATAGTCAAACAAACAGCTATAAAGAGCTAGAAAAACCTCTTTTACAGCCAAAACGCTATTGACAAAAGCAGCCTTAGTGTTCTCTAGTTTTTGCCTTTGCGAGGTTTTTAAACTATTTTTACTTTAGATTTTAGTTGAGAGAGAGAGAGAGAGNNGAGAGAGAGTGAGTGAGAGAGAGAGAGAGAGAGAGAGAGAATACCAGCATAGTGTGCTCAAATTGTGCACTACGTTTACCATCAGCGGTTACAGCAGTCCATCCATCAGGCCACATTCGGTCACGCCAAACACCTAACAACACCATTTGATTATGTAAAATCAATTTAATGATTTTTCTTTATTATGTAAAATCATTAAATTCCAGACCCCAACCAGTTGGTAATATACTGGGTATGTTGTTGTTGTATATATATGTGAAATCATTAAATTGATTTTACATAATAAAGAAAAAAAAAAAGGTATAGGGACATTATCCTAAGCAACTACCTGAATTGATCATAGGTTCAATGGTAAATATTTGTCCTGCCTTCATTACTCCAACAGCCTTATTTCCTTTGAGAAGGTCAGGTTAAGGACTAAACGGCGAACACGAAAGTCACCTCGATAATAAATATATAAAAAAATAAAATAAAATAGTTCCTATCAAGTCTTAAGGATACTGGCATAATGTGGTATATTCGGAGCACAATGGAACAGCTCACCAATACCATGACCACAGTAAGATCTCACCTACAATAGCATGGCACCAGGACAGGGGAGTAGTTTACGACGTGTATCCAAACTTGAACAAAAGAAGATTGAAAAATGTTAAGTAGTAATATCAAAAGAAGTCTTACTTACCACAGATAAACCGGACATGGAAGCATGTCGATTTATAATTTCCCCAATTTCTCGATAACGAACTCCAGGTTTAACTGAGGAAAGCATAGACGGGCCATAACCGATTGAAAAGGAACAAACAAAGTGGCATGCAATATTTTGCTTTATGAAAAAACAAAAAAGCGGCATAAATTATCTTGACCAATTAAATTCACAGGCCAAAAAACTTACCAGCTGCTATTGCTTTCTCCAAGCATTCATATGTGCATTGAACAAGGCGTTTAGATGCCTCATCAACATTGCCAACGAAGAATGTTTCATTTAAGTCACCTATATAGATACAAACATGCAAAAGTCATTATAATATCTCCAGCAACAGATTTTCAAGATACATATAATGGCCTTCAGCTTGCCCGGTTTTACATACCATGTACCCCTTTATAATACACAGTAACATCAACATTTACAATGTCCCCATCCTCTAATTTCCTGGCAAGGTAAAATACAGTACAAATGATATGAGATGGAGTTATTACTTACAAACTAATTATGAACATTGTCAAAAACAAAATGAATCACGGCATTTCATAGTTTTCATAATTAAACAGAAGCCAAACTGTTTGACTCATAAGTAAACAAGTTTCTTCTCGCTCGTGCTTAAAGGTTCTCAAGCCATGCAAAACAAATAAAAGAGTATATATATAATATATATAACCAGATAACACTATAGATTGGTACAGAGCACCAACTCTAAGATCTACCTTGCATCTGGAATCCCATGGCAAATCACCTCATTTACTGATCTGGAGAAAATAATAGTTATGATGAAAAGCACAGTCCTAACATATTCTGAAATCTAGAGCATAAATGAAAGAGAATCCAGTTCAGAAATACCTACGTGCAGCAAGACTTTGGGAAAAAATAGTAATTTAATGGAGATGGATATCCTCCTGCAAGAGTAAAGCAAATAAAGGGACCATCGCTATTACAGTGAAACTGTATTTCTACACATGGAAACTATACATAAAAAGGGAAAGGGCAGAAAAGTTAAACAAACCAGCAGCAATTGTTGCATCGTGGACCACAGCATCAATTTCATCAGTAGTAATCCCAGGTCGTATGACACGAGCAGAAGCATCCAAAACTTCCCTAGCTATCTGGATATAAAACAAAATTAGACGCGAATCCAGGGTGTGATATGAACTCATTATGCTAGCATCCTTGTTTCGTCAGGTTTATATATAATAGCTATACTTTGCATGCAGATATGGATGCGTTAAAACCCCCTCATTTATTTACCACAAGTTTTGCTCAGTGTTTTCAGTTATACACTGGTCAACCTCCTAATATTCTGAAAACCAAATAAATTCCGGGGCCTTGTGCATGTTGTACAAGATTTCTTCCAAGAACAACCTTCTCAAAATATTTAAACACGTGATGAACTCCGTAATAAAACTCATACAAAGAATATAGAAAAGTATACTTTTTCTTCAGTATTAATAGACCAACATAGGGACTTACTCGGCAAGTCTCGCGCATTCTTGCAATTTGATCTGGAGTCTTAATCTTCAAAAGGTGAATGAATAAAGGAATCAGCATAGGTAATATCTGATTTCAAGTATAATAGGTAAGTAACAACACAAAATTACCTCAACAACACGTTGAAGATCACTGTTGGGCTCAATTTTAGGTGTTCCCTGAAAAAAAGTTAAGTAAACAGATTAGCCTTTCTCTCTTTTCTTTTTTTTGGGGGGGTTTGGGGGGGAGGGGGTAATCTGAGGTCCGGGAACAGAAAATTCGTCACTAAACAGAGAATTCTTAACAGAACTCCAACTGATTAATGCATAATGCTTGAGCATCTAAATAATTCAAACTAGGTACTTACATCAATTGCCCAGTCAGGTAGTTCAATGTGGGGAGGCACTGGCCGTCTTTTTGATATTGGATATGGCCTTAATGATCTGAAAGTGGGAGGAAGGTTAGAAAAGTCAAGTCATAGGATAGGAAATGCGGAAAACAAATGTCACTACAAGCAAGTAGTTCTAAGGTGAAAATCCTATATTACTATCTATTGTGCTTTTTAAAAAAAAAAAAACGAAAAGTCAGAAAGAAATAATGTCAACATCAAAGGGAAGAAAATAAACAAATAAATAAAAGGTAAGTATTAATACCCAGTCCAGTCAAAATGTGGAAGATTGGGCGTCCGAGCCTGCCCTTTCCTCAAGCAGTAGAGCCAACCATCATTGAGCAAGCCTGAATTTTGCTCCCCAGGATTTTCAGGTGGGGAGGATGAAATCTTTGCCTTCACATGCACAGATTTATGAGAACTCCAAGATACCTTGAAACATTCTTGAGAACTGAAAACGTGAAAAAGGGCTCAAATTCATTTAACAGTAGCGCATGACAGTTTCTAAACTAGAAACATTCTCAGCAGGCTTAATAGTATACAACTATACATAACCCAAATAATCATTTCTCATCAGAAAGTTCAAGCGAAAGGCACCAAAAAAAACAAATTATTCACAGATTATCATCAAGCACCAATTATATAGTTCAATTATATTCCGTTAAGCTAAAAGCTCATAAACATCTAATCCAGCTTCAACTGCCACACATACCAAAACTCAGGAATTTCTCAATGATTAACGACATTAGAGCTGAAACGAAAGAACGAACCAGAAAGCAGCACCTTCCCGGGGGAGCTTTAGCTCAACACATTTCGGGCACCTGCAGGAAATGTTACACGTCAAGCAAAATGCAGAAACTAAATCACACACACTAAACAGACTACGTACTGGAGATGAGCAGGTTTTCCGCATTTAGCACACGATAAAGATGTAGTCTCAATCGCATCTGATCCACCAGCCATGACTGCACCACCGCGTCAAGCTCAATTTCATTACAACAAATAGAAAACGCCATCAAATTACACCATTAAAACGTTTCTGGATAGCTAATTTGACAAAGGTAGACCAATTAGTTCAACAATCATTGATAGAGGAAATACCTTACTTCAGTAATGGCGATCGTAGCACGAGGAATTTCAGGTGAAGAGCTAGGGTTTTCCAGATAAAAAAAGGGGATCGATTGAGGGTCTGTGGAGTCTAAAGTATGAAAGCTCTTCTTATGAAAAGTCAAAATTATTTTCAAAAGTTCATTCTTCTTTAATAGTATCTTCTATCTAATTGGTTTGTTTATTGCTATTTTTACATAACTAAACGAGTACACTATATAATAGTACAATGTTCATGGTTTAAAATACATAATCAAAATATATATTAAAAATTAAATTATAGATAAATTAAACATAAAAAAGAATGAATATAATCAATACAAATTTATATGTAAAAAGAATAAAGATTATAAGACTAAAACACAAATTTATCAAATTATTATGTTTAATTTATTCCTCATAAAATACAATGTGAAAAGATATTCAACATACATTTCAATTTAATAAATATGATCAATTCATTTCATAGTCAAATGTACCATAGAAAAATCAAACAAATTGATTATGGTTGTGTTTGTTAAACAGCTTTTTGCTCTAAAAAGAGCTTTTTAAAAAATTTAGTTGTTTGACTATTTGAACCAGCTGAAAAAAACGTTTGGCAAGTAGCGGATACAAATAGCTTTTTAGGGCCTATCAGCTGAATTATAAAACGCTGCTTTTAGCAGCGTGTTGAGTTAGTTGTTCATTATTTAAAAATTAAAATGTCTTGATTACCCTTACTTCTCTCTCCTCACAAATTCAGAAAAAAGTAGCGTTTGTACATGTTTTTGTTCCTTTGTGATTGTTCAAGTCAATAACTGGTTGAAAACCTTTTTTTAAATTCAAGTGTCCTTTTTTTTTCTATTACTGTAATTATGTGGGTTAATAAATTTCAAGTGATTCAACTTGGAACAAATGTTTGTTCCTTAATCCAATATTTTCTTAAAAATTTGATAAATATAACAATCTTGATATTTCGAAATGTGTCAGTTTAGAAAGTAATTAAAAAATCGTGTGCCAACTTTGATAAAATATTTTTATTTTATTATTATTTATATTTTTATCATATTTAAATCACTTTAATAAATATTTAAAATATTAATTATTTAAATTTTCTATGTAATTATAAGTTGAACATAAATTAGAATTAGAATGATAAAGTATGTTGATGTCCTTATAAGTAATTTTACATGTTAACAGCTAATTAAAATAGCTAATTTTACTAAACACTTTTTTACAAACCGCTAACACGATCAGCTGGTCAAAACAACTAATGTAATCCGCTAACAGTTAACAGCTAACCGCTGATTACCAAACAAGGCCTATATAATTAATGTGTTTAAGTTCAAGTCTTTATAGGCGAGTTGAATCGGGTTATGTTCGTTTATTAATATTAACAAACCGAGCTAAGATAAAATAATCAAAACATTTTGCAGAAATCATACTCTCAAATTTTTGTCTTTACGAACGGTGAGCGCGGCTCGACTAAACGAGCTTTAAACAAGCCACACCCTCATAAAGGGCTTTAGGCCCATTACATTGAAAATAAATCAACAGCCCAATATAACAAAATAAGATGAATGCGGAGTACATTTCCTGAGTTGGGCCTGACCACATCATGATCCATATAAATTAGATAGTTGGCTATGTTTTCATATTGTAATTCCAATCATAGTTGAATTGTATTGATTATTATTGTCATTATCTGATTGTAATTTATCATTAATCACAACCATTGAAAATGTCAACGGAATTACATGCTGGTGATTTAAACTATGCATGTAAAAATATAAATTGTGAGTTGTTATCCATCATATATTTTTGCTATCTATTATATATCAATTTGTTATCTTCCTGTATCGGGCTTATTGGGCCGTGGATGTCATCTTTTGTAACCATTGGATCAAACGGTTATAAATCTCGACGGAATAGTTCCGTAACGGGACCTTAGTATTTCCCTAAAATAATACTAATACTAATGGTGTAATTACGAGGCACAATTTGTCTAAACTCTTTAAATAACATTTATGAGTTACAATATCTGGCCATGTTTGACAATTTCAGAACCACTAATTCAACTCTTGGCAAAAAGTATGTGAAGAATACAACTAACATATTAATGATGAAAGATTTTATGTTTTAAAAGTCATGTTTCATTTCATTGGATGATTAACAGCGTATAATTAATTAGTGACATTATCATAAACACATGTCATTTATATAACAAAATGATTAAAACATCATTTCGGACGTAACATTGGAATCCAAAATCTCGTCCCGTTAATCACCATTTATATTTTTTATATAACTCGAGCTACCATTCGATCACTCTTGACCTTAATGAGTTATCGCTCGGGAATAATCGTTATATTTCCGAGCGTCGAGTTATTTTGAAGAACTGTATTGAAATGAATATATTGCAAAAACGTAGACGAGAGGGCATTATCAAGCAAGTTAATTACTATATAGAACAAGTCAAACTGGATAATTTTCTCAAAATATTTGTAGGTTATAAACCAAGTAGCATGTATTTAAATTTTTTTAAGTCGTTGTCGATCATTGAATGCCCCCAAATTATAGTCTTGCCACATTTTTAATCTTTTTCTCGTTTTCAGTTCAGTCGAATTAATTATTATTTAAAACTATTAGCTGATTTATATTATTAAAATTATATTGAAATTTAAAGTCGTCGCCTCATCTGTCACGCTGAATTTGGTTTCTCCAATTTTTTTCCCCCTTCTTTTCCTTTTCTTTGTATACATAAATATTTAATAATAATAAATATTAATTAGGCCGGTTTTGAAATAAAATTAAAAATATTACCCTTGGGTTACATTAGCAAGACATTAATAATAATAATAATAATAATAATAATAATAATAATAATAAAACTGATTTACTTACTAAACTACAGCTGTGCATAGAATAATTCAATGTAACACGTACGGTTCAAAGTCCAAATTTTTAATATCATCCCTTTTAGTATTATAAATTTATAATCATAAAAAAGTTAATTAATCAGGAATAAATGGCACAGAATTATGATTTAATTACTGTCAATGCTATATATACATGTATACATACACGTATAATCAGGGGCGGACGCAGCCCTTAGAGACAACGGGGGCACAAACGGTCAACGCAAGATGTCAAGTTGTTAACGGTCAAATCAATATTTAACCAATTAAAAAATAAAAAGATAAAATCATAACCAGACACCCTGTTTTTTATTTAATAGCTAGGATTGAGTCTCACATTCTCATTTTAATAATAGAGACATATTTGATCCCATCCCTATATATATATTTATGTATAAGATTTGTTTATGTATTTTGGGAGGAAAAATGAAATAAACAAGAAGTTGAGTATAACATAAACACAAATTTCACAACTTATAAAATTACATACTATTTAAGGTTAAATAATTCTAAACATTTCATTTTTATTGTCTTTATTGAAATAACTTTGCATAATAATTAATAACATGTATTTTTTATGTCAATATAATAATAATAATAATAATAATAATAATAATATATTTATACATAAAACATATATATAGTATATTACTAAAAAATTTCTACTGGGGCCCGTGCCCCTACGGGCCCCTATGTATGTCCGCCATTGCACGTATTATTAATTATAATTAGCCAAGGCGGTTCAGATTAATTAAATTGTGATTTTGGGGTTTATTTAAGTAATTAGGAATTAGAACTTCACCAACTAGCCACTATAATTTAATTGTACTTAATAAAACCAAACTAGGTCATAGGAATATTTCATTTCGTGTACGTGTTTCCTGCCTTCCCTAGCTAGTTTCTAACTTTCAATTTTTTTTCCAAATGTCAACTCTCATAAAGAATGTGATATAAGTATTTCTTTAGTTGGTCATATTAATGATAAAATCAAGATTTGGATAATATTCTCTATAAAAAGCCTCAATAGAAAACTAAATTAAAATAAAGTATATACATATGATAACATATTATACATTAGCCACCAACCCCATGATTTCAAGTAGTTACAACTTACATGCACATACAAAAAATAAAAAAAATAAAAAAATGTCGTTAGTAATGCTCCCCAATCACAACATTTGCCTTTTTTTTTTCTTCCCCTATATAAGCAAATGAAATAGAACCAAAAAACTCAACAAAAAACACCAACAAATAGCTTATACCTAACCTAGCCATGGCTACAACATTTCTCAAAACCCTTGTCCTAATCTCCTCCTTGCTCATTTCTACCACCATCTCTACATCAAACTCTCAAGCCACAATCAAGGCTTGGTGCAACCAAACCCCACACCCAAAAACGTGTGAGTACTTCTTCGCGAACAACCCTAAATACAAAGTCCCCATCGAGAAAAAATCTGATTTTTTCAGACTGTCGGCTGAATTAGCCCTTGACCGGTGCATGCACGTGCAGAACAGATTTTACGCACTCGGTCCTAAATGCCGCAACCAACGCGAAAAGGCCGCGTGGGCAGACTGCATCGAGCTCTACGAACACACCATTCGTAAAATCAATAGAACTGTCGACCCCATGTGCACGCCGACTGACGCGCAGACCTGGCTGAGCTCTGCCCTGACAAATCTCGAGACGTGCAGATCAGGGTTTCAGGATTTCGGCATAACCGACAACTATCTCTTTCCCTTCACGTCGAACAATGTGACCGTATTGCTAAGCAATACCCTAGCAATCAACAAGGAGGCTTCGAGCAAATACGACAAGCCGAGGTATAAAGAAGGGTTTCCAGACTGGGTTCGACCCGGTGAGCGAAAACTACTCCAATCCTCCACTCCACGGGTTGATGCGGTGGTGGCGCAAGATGGGTCCGGAAACTTCCGAACGGTGGGCGAAGCAGTGAAAGCCATCGGAAAACGATCGGGTAGCGGGAGATATGTGATCCATGTGAAACAAGGGACGTATAGGGAGAATGTGGAGATCGGGACGAGTTTGAAGAATATAATGTTGTTGGGCGATGGTATCGGGAAGACTATTATCACCGGAAGTCGAAGCGTGGACGGAGGCTCCACCACCTTCAAGTCTGCCACGGTTGGTAAGTCAAATCGTGACTTGTTTTACGGTCACATTCTTGGTAGAGATCTATCACTATACACTATTACAAAATGATGAAATTTCGATAGAAAATTTCAAAGCAAATATATCCTAATAGAATTCCAACGTAAATTCCAACAGAATTATTATGTTGGATTGAATTTTTCTTTGAAATTTTCGCTAGATTTTGACGTTTCCAACGATATTTTTCAACGCGGTGGAAATAAGAATTTCAATGAAAATTGCATATTCCAACAGGAGTTTCTATAGTAAAAAATCGTTAGATAAATAGTCGTTGGAGTTATCAAATTCCATCTAAAATTTCAATGGAAAACTCACTCCAACGGAATATTTTCGTTGGAATTTTTGTTGGAATTATTCCAATTGAAGCTATACCATTGGAATATCTGAATTTTTCTTAGAATATTTTAATATAGGATTTTTTATTTGAATATAACATTTTTTTTAGTGATATGTTATTCATAAAATTGCTGTGAATCTCTGATAGATTCGTTAATATATATACGAAATTAAAGCAAAGTTAGCAAACTAAACTTAGATTCTGTCTAGTTTTAAAAGATGTAAGAAGTACACAAGTAACAATCTCTAACAATTAAAAGAGAAAAAATATTATATATGACTTCTTTTGGATATACTACCATTTTTTGGTAGCGTTATGACGTGATAAAACTGGTAAAATTTATATTTGGTTAAATTAATTGTTTTTTTTTTCGGTACAATTAAATTAATTGTTTTTTATTTAGCTTATTGGATGCGTAATTTAAAACAAAATACGCTTGACTTCGGGGCATTTTTTCTCTTTCTAAAAGCCCACAAAACAATCGTTATTTAATTTCTACTAAACGTATCTTACAAACCGCACATTTTCTGCAACTCTGCATGTCAAAACTGCTCATAAATTCGACTAATGGCCGATGCTGACAACTGATTGTCAAACAGAGTCAATATTATGTTTTTACTTTCTATTTTTAAATTACCAAAACATTTTCCTAATTCTCTCTCTTTTTCGCCCTTCACCAGCTGTCGTAGGCGACGGGTTCATCGCCCGTGGCATCACCTTCCGGAACACGGCCGGCACGCAGAACCACCAGGCAGTGGCCCTCCGGTCTGGGTCGGACCTATCCGTTTTCTACCAGTGTAGCTTCGAGGGGTATCAAGACACGTTGTATGTCCACTCCAATCGTCAATTCTACCGCGACTGTGACATCTACGGCACTGTCGACTTCATATTCGGAAACGCGGCCGTCGTTTTCCAGAATTGCAACATCTACCCGCGGGACCCGCCCAATCGGACCAACACCATCACGGCCCAGGGTCGGACCGACCCAAACCAGAATACGGGCATCTCGATCCACGAATGCCGGGTCGCGGCCGCCTCGGACCTCCGCCCGAAGGTGAGGTCCGTGCGCACGTACCTCGGCCGGCCGTGGAAGGAGTACTCACGCACGGTTTTCATGAAGACGTCGTTAGACGGGTTGATCAACCCGGCCGGGTGGATGCCGTGGAGCGGGAATTTCGCACTCAACACGTTGTATTACGGGGAGTACGCGAACACGGGGCCCGGCTCGTCGACTTCGGGCCGGGTCAAGTGGAAAGGGTATCGGGTGATAACGAGTGCGGCCGAGGCGGCCCGGTTTGCACCGGGAAACTTTATCTCGGCCCGTTCTTGGCTTCCGGCGACAAACGTGCCGTTCACCTCAGCTCTATGATGGATTTTTAGGCTTTTTTTTTTTATTATTTTTTTTGCTTTTTACCGGTTTTTATAAATTTATTTGTGCTCTAATTTCATGCTTTTTCCGCTTGCATATTCTTTTAATGTTGTATTTGTCATTGTATGAAAAATAATAAATATGTGAAGAATAACATTTTAAGTATTGATTTCTTTTTTATTATTGGTCCTTTGTAAAAAATTTGGTTTTCTTATCCGTACCTTGCAATAACAAGCCGACCCTAGCTCACTCTCACCCAGCTGGGCTTGTTAAAATAAAGAGTCAGAAATTTAGTTTGAGATTGATTCATTTATTAATATTTTTTTCGAGCTAAGTTTGAGCATTAACTAGCAGAATTCGAGCTTTAACTAGCCGAGCTATATATAAAAAAATATACAAAATATTTTTTTTAGACGAAAAATAGAAAGTTATATAAAAAATATTCTTTTCGAGTCTCATTGAGGCAAGCCGAGCTCGACTCGTTAACAAAATGTCTTTAAGCGAGCTTGGACTTAGCTCGTTGATCAAACTAGCTGAGACGAACTTGAGCCGTAACGAGCTGAGTCGAGCGGGGTTCACGAATGACTCGTTTCATTTAAAAGGTCTATAATCGCTTCGGGCTTTGAATTATAATTTGAATTTAATGGCCCATGATTTATGTGTGTAGTATTGGCTCATGAACTTGTTGTGAACCAGGCCTTGGATAATTGGGCCTAAATATATATTATATATCTTTATGTGACTTTGTGAAGCAGCCTTATGTAATTGGGCCTAAATACATTTTTAAGGAGTTGGTTGATATTTTAACGGTCATTATGGCAAGTAAACTCAAAAATCAGTTCATCACATCTTTGTATGTTTCTTTATTTTATTTTATTATTTGTACTGATGGACCCAATTTTTGGGACCTTGGGACCAACAAATAAAATTGGTTCGCAAGTAGTTGATATAAACTAGGGCACGAGCAATCAAAGTTCCCTTAGAACAAGGCAATATCAATTTTAATTCAACATTGATTTGGTTCACATATGTGTACTTAGATTTTTTTTGTTTGTACCAATGTACCCCATATGAAATGAAAGCTCTATTTTAACTTGTATATTACAAAATAATTGTGTTATTACAAATTTCAAATGTCACTTGAAAGTGATTTATTCGATAAAACAAAGCGCATGAAGACTCTTGAAATTGTCAATAACGCGAAATCATCGTTCGTTTGTTTTGATTTAGGTTTTACGAACTATTTATTTTGCGCAATATTTTGTGTCACGTAGCCTAATGATCAAAAGTTGAATTCTTACGACGTGTTGGAAAAATATGAAAAATATTGTTTTCATCACGTTTTTTTTTTGTTTTTTCGCGAAAACTTTCAATAAATAACAATAATTCAAACTTTAGAGATTTGAAATTCCTTCAATGTGAACCAACTTATTATTTTCCCACTATTTTTACACCGAATTTTGTTGAGCCTTGGAAAAGGACACTTGTGGTGATGCATTACATGGCGCCTAAGAAGAGTCAACAAATTAGGGTGAATGAAATATGAAGTCTTCATATGCGTAGCAAAAAAAGATGAAAATGAAATGTTTTTATTTTTTTAAAATAATTACTGAAAAATCCCAAATTGGGGGACACTTAAAGCTGCAAATTGCAAGAAAAATAATTAGTTTATCGAAAAAAGTGTGTTATTACTTATTAGTGGTATAAACACATTATTAAAGAGATGAGGCTATTTAGTCCACGAATTATGATTATTATGAATCATTTGAGCCAGGAATAAAGATGTCTCTTTATTTTTTAATAATATATACAAATGTACTTATATACATATAATTGTTGACTAATTATTCCATAAAAGAAATTTATTGGAGTCTTAGAGATTGGTATATATTTGCTGGGCAGACAAGTATATTTGTAAGTAAAATAAAGTTATTTTAGAAATAAAAAATTTGTAGCCATCTATTATAATTTTGTAGCTATTTAAAACTCAAAGCTAAGAATTGTTGGTTAAATTATATATTTTTTTTTTCGGTAGCCAGCCGCGGTATCTGGAGCATTGGCCCGACTAATCCGTTGGTCGACCCTTGTCGTACACCTCACAATGGTGGGTGATTCTCCCGACATTGCTTAAATTATAATTAACTTTGAAATAATCTCCCTTTTTGTATTTTATTAATTATCATTGTATGGGTTTTATATTGTTATATAGTAAAGTAATATTTCACAGTATTTCACCACTTTTCTCACGTTTATTTTTTATTATTTAAGGATCGAAATGAAATTACTCCTGTAAGATAATAAATCATGGAAATATACCAAAATTACTTAATTAGCAATATTTTGATTTTTAAGTTGTTAAGAGAAGGAGAAAAAATAAGTAAAAAATCTTATGACTCTAGCAAAATGCCAAGCACCAAATAGCCTCTTTCTTTTTCCATTTTACTATTACTATAATATTTGTTAGTTATTCCCCAATTTAAGAAGAACTATGTGAAATTAAATCAGTAAAATTATAGAATATTTGAGAAACTTATTTGAAAATTTTGAACTGATTTTGATAATGTGATAATAAGTAAAAAAATAATAACTCATAATATATTGGCAATATTTAAATATATATTCTGAAAATTCTCCAAAATCTATACAAAATTACAAAACATTAACCAAAATCCCTAGTAATTCATTTAATAATAATAATAAAAAAAAAAACACAGCTAATTTACTCAACTAAAGTCATCAATCAACACAGAGCACGCGATTATCATCATCGTCACGTTCACGACATTCTCAAATTCCTATCTCATTTTCTCCAGCTCCACGTCAGCAATTTCCGGGCGCACTGAACCTCCTTAATTCGGGTCTTGACCCGCTCGAAGTCCGAGATCCGACAGGGTATGGTTATCCCGCCCGGGTGGTTGAACCCGTATTCCTTTTCGGACTCCCTCAGCAAATCCTCGAACAGAGGATGGTTACAATAAACGACCGGCACCAAAACCCTCTCGAAATCGCCGTCTTTTTGGCCGACGTACACCGCCATGTGTCCCTTCGGAACGGGTCCGGGACTGGAAACCGGTTCTTGCCCGACCCGGATGTACCCACGCCCTGTTTGCAGAATCGCCCCTGCCTTCGCCCTGAGGCGGCGGGTCCACGCCGCGAGTCTTGATACGGATCTGAACCGGTCGGGAAGAGATGGGTCGAGGCAGCGGTAGGACGCCGCCGAGCGTCGTCGCCGGAAAAATCTCCGGAAAAGGAGGTTGACCCGGTGTTTGAGCAGGAAACCTCTTTTTCTTGGCATATTTGTTCTGGGTTTTCGATAAAACAGAGGAAAAAAGTGAGTAGAGAGGAAAAAGATTCGATCTTTGGGAGATTTTGAATGGTTTGATTTTTAGTTGCTGAGAAGGGATTTGTTAGGAGAAAGGCCAGGGGTCGGCGATGGAGATGACTAGCCGGAAAAGGGTGAGGCAGACTTCGGAAAGTGACGTGGGTATATTTGACATGGTATTTACTAATCAGTTTGTGTCATCCGAGTTTTTTGTTTTGTTTTCTTTTTTTTTTTCTCTCGATTTTGTTTTTCTGGCGAGGTGGAGAGGGTGGTGGACGGCGGGGAGGCGGCGGAGGTGGTGGTGGGATGAGGGAGAAATGATGGTTGTGGTAGAGACCTTTTGTTTTGGGGAGTACTCGTTCAAAATGAAAATCACAATAAGAGGATTATATATAAGGAAATAGATAGATGGTGTATGGCTTTATAATTTGTACATTTATACACATAATAATATAGTCGGTTAATTTATTATAGATATACAGTAATTCTACGGAGCAATCGGATGGCTCCGTTATGGAGCCATCCATATGTTTATATATTGACACATGTCCGATGTGCATTTATTGCAGGACACGTGTCAATACATCATTTGTGAATAACAATGAATGGCTCCATAAACCGAGTCATCCGATGGCTCCATAGCAAAACCGTATAGATATATTAATGTGTCATATATATTGTTTTTTTTTCTTAAAAAAAAATTATTTAAAATTTCATATCTTTGTATATAATTATTTTTTTACGTATCCCAATTCAGTTTGAAAGATATTGTCCATAATATGTTTAAATATTAAAATTCAATTTGAAGTTTCTTCATAATATCACAATTCAATTTGAAATATATTGCTTATATTGTTTTCAAGAGTAACTCAATTCAATTAAAATCATATGTTGAAAAAGTATGATTAAGATTACGATTGGCTAAACATTAATTATGTCTAAGACCAGTCTTACCTGATATGAGATACCATACCCGTAAAGACAAAACCAATAAACTAGTCGACTAGGCCGAGCGAACCGGTTGGTTGAACAAAGCCGTAGAAAGACCGAATAGAGGTCGAACGCCATTTTGGAACAAGGAGTCTTCATGTTGAAAAAGGCATGAGGGGTTATAGGAACAACCAGAGCCCTCGGATGACCTTTTGTAAACTCGACCTGAAGGTATGGTTGAGACCAGAAGGACAATATTTAGCTCGACACATGCAATATTATACCTCAGCAGGGCTCGAGCTGGTCGAACGATTAGACGGTCTAATACGATAGACTAAGGGACAAGAAAGAATAATAGAGGCCACGTGACCTAACAGAATTGGACAATTCAAAAAGATCAGGCATGATATAGGATATTATACTGGACTCGGTTTAATGGATAAAGCGGATACATATAGGAAGATAAGCCCACTACTACGTCCAAGCCCAACATTATGGGCCAAGCTCATATTGAGCCCACAAAGGTACACTCCCCCTATAAAAGGGGGGCCAAGGTACTTCATTCGATATTATCCTCTACTCATTACATTACTACACTTTATCTCTCTCTTGATCCGAGCACTGACTTAGGCATCGGAGGCCCGACGCCGGGGCCACCCGGCGTTGGGTTCTGCAGGTACGGAGGCCGGTTCGAGTTGAAGGAGCCCGGGTGAATCTTATTCACTTCAAGGCAGTTCGGGAAGTACGAACGGGCAACTCGGGCAGCCCACTCGCCCTGTCATAGGTAAGAAGGTATCACCTGAGATATGTCATTTATCACATTGCATTCTCCATTATTCTATACACACTTATACTGTACATGATTTTCTATAAGTGCTAATTTAAACATCATAGACTATTCACAGGAAAATTCATCTGGTGTGCAAAATTTTTACATGTCTCAAGGCTTTTAACCGGGAAAGAGCTCGAGTTAGACCGCATTTCCACCTGCAAAGTGCAAGGAGCTCGAGTCAAACCGATATCTAACCGGTCTTAGTTCTTTTGTGTACAAGTACCAAAAAATATAAAATTAACCTAATAAGATATTTTTTTTTTAGGATGTAGAGTTTCGTCTAACAACAACATTACTTTAATCTACATATCTATCTTAAACTTCTTTTTGGCATATAGTATAAGTTTTTAATAAGATTAATGGTATTTTTTTCTAAGGCTGTCAATATTTTATAACTTTGTTTATTTATGTTACTCAAAACATATCGTATAAAACTAGAAAATTTAACAAATTAGCTGCATTAAATAAACTTGAAAAATTGTGTAGAATTGAAGAATATTTGGATATTTGCGATACCAAAATTACGGAAAATGGAAGCGAGGAGGAAATTTCCCTGATATGGTGGAGAATTTGGAATATATAAAGGTGTCTCGTTTTGATAGGAAGTTGTGATTTTTAATTATGTTAAGTGTTTTTTTGTTGATTTTTTCTTTGTTTTGAATTTGTCTTTCTTTGAAACATATAAATAATAAATCAATCCAGTTATTATTTCAAAATTGTAGGCCATCAAATCAATTTTTCTGGTTCAAAAGACACGTACACGTTATATTTTATTGTGTTCTGCTTTCAGTTTTATTTTGTTTTTAGTATACTGATATAATTAATCAGATAAATAGAAAATAAAAATGAATTATATTGACTTTTTTATTCAATTAATAATATGTCATGCTTGATACATATTTCTTCCAAAAACATTGGTGTAAGCTTTATTTTTTGATTAAAAAAACTAATTAAATATATATTTTTTAACTAAATAAGTCAATTAGTCAGCTAATTTAACTCAAGACACGAAGATTAGGTCAATGAAATTATCTCGTTAATATATATAAATAAACATTATAAAAAATAAATGAACAATTTTTTTAAAATTATTGAGATCGATTATGCCGTACATACTGTACGTGTGCGCTACATTTGTACGCGGATCAAAGGTTCAGGCTGGTGGGCCCAAGTCGGGCCGCATTGACGAATATGTGATATACAGTCCACTTGTTATAAAGTTGTGGGCCGACTGGGTTAGTGGAATATAATATTGCCGGCCCATGTTCCTGCTTTTTATCTCCACCCAATCACTATCAATTTGAAAAGAATAAAACTATTTTTTTTTTTTATTTATTAATGATCAATACTTAAAAATAAAAGTAATAGAATATAATATTAAACTTGAGCAATGAAGAAAAAGAGTTGGGATAAAGAAGAATCGAACCTATCAAGATTAAGCTTATTCTAATGGCTGATCCCCCAAATCTACCTTTAATTATCTTTTATTATTTTATTTTGTTCTTTTTTCTATTTTATAGTATTTTCTAAAGTTTGCGAGTTGAATTGTCATATTGCACCAATTATTATTATTATTATTATTATTATTGTTGTTATTATTATTATTATTATTATTATTAATTTTCACTTTTTCATTGAATTCGACGTGTCTTTTTACAAGCGTGACAGTGGTGAATAATAATTATATTTCGAAATTCATGTGTATACCTAATAAATATTAAAGCAAATTTAATCATGATATATTGCAGTAATAAATCAATTACCAGTAATTTAATCATGATATATTGTACGTACATGCAGCCTAACCGGACTTATTATGAACTATACATTGATATGCATAATTCATAATTGCATTTCATGGAAATCAAATACTCTTTTTACAAATATACATAATTCTTATTATAGCATGGCGCACATTAAAAAGTAATATAAAAGTAAGTATGATATTTGATAGTATAAATATACATTTTTGGTCAAATAGTACGATGAATATTGACATGTATGATTGGTAGATCGTTTCACACAATAATTTGTAGAAAACTAAAAGTAGGACATTCCCACCAATATCAATCTCTAGCTTTTAGTATATCCTAAATTGATATTTTAAAGTTGAAAAATCAATATTGAAGTGTGTTAATACTAAAAGATTAGAATAAGAACAAAAAATAACTCATTAATATAAACACTTAGCTACAATTTTGCGCTCATAATCATGTTCCACGCACACTTAATAAGGTGAAGCAAAAGTCAGTACCTGCTCTATTGGGGCCCATTCTTACGTGGATTAAAAGGTAATTAATTGGAAAAATTAAATTGAAAATTTGAAGAGAATCCAAAATTAGTTGAACCAAATTGATATATGACCTAATTATTCATAATATATTCAGATGAGTGATTTTATGTTCAACTTTGATTACTACTTTCAAGCTACTTTCTTGCATTACCGAACCATTCCGTCGGGATTTGTAACTGTTAAATCATCATATAATATGGTTACATGATGATTTAACGATTACAAATTCCGACAGAATAATTTCATATCAAGCCCGTAAAATCTCCCCAAGCATTTTGAAATTAAAGGACAAGAAACGAAAAGAAATCTGGATTTTGAGACCTTGGGTTATAAATTTAATACATAGCCCAATGAACCATTTTAAACCTTCTAGGCCAATATCTAGTTTCTCTCTGGCCCAAAAGTATTTGGGCCGTGCCATGTAGCGTAGCCCATGCGAGCTTGTACTCAAACTCTTATTTTGACTAGCCTAGTTGCTTTTGGAACCCATATCTTTTTCAAATCTAGTTTATTCTACTTATTCTCATGTTGGCTTCATAAAATATTTTAATTAATATGCGAAAAATAAACGCAACATTTTAAAATTGAGAGTTTTTTGAGTATTGGCAACTTTCAATTCACCTTAAATTTGAAATCCTAGGCGACCAATTCATCTTAAAGTAATAAAAAAGCTGGTCCATTTTAACGAGCTCTAAATGCAATTAATAGTAAGGTGAAAACCATAGTTATTAAACCCGGTCCAGGAATCGATCCGCGCAGGTTTCCGGCTCAATTGTTGAACCGGATAATTAATTTTAAATTTTTTAAAATATATATACAGTATTTTGTCATATAAATATACATAAAAATAACAAAATTAAATATTTTGTATATAAAATTTGTACATTAAAGTGTTAATAATATATATTTCATAATAAATATTTACCATACAAATATTTATACATAGTTTTATTTTTTATAAACAAAAACTATTTTAAAAAATGAAAATATATATATAGGGGCCAGTCGGGTCAATGCCCCTGGTCGACTGGGTCAAGGTTGGGTTGGACGGGTTTTAACCGGGTCCTTTATTGCCCGTTCCAAATAGCCCACCCAGGTCGACCCGTCGGGCCGGTTCGGGTCTCAAAACTGTGCTGAAAACCCTATATATAGCTGAAAACATTATTTTTTTGTTGGTTAATTAATTTCACTATCATGGGAACATCAAAGTATTGGGATTCCATATGGAAATTGCTGATTTTTTTGTCACACATTTAGGGGGAATCTGCTGAAAGAATGAGTAAATAAAGAGACTATAATATTTAAGACTTTTTTTTTTTTTTTTTTTTT